TTTTTTAACACTCTATTTTTCAAATTCCCCTACATTTAGTGATCAAGATCTTTCCCTACCCGTCACGAATGCCACATCGTGACAGCCATTGAGACTGAGTTGGAGAAGAAATTAGACATTTATCTCTTGAAAAACTAATAGTTCAAAGCCGTTAGAAGCAAAGGGATCAATCTAGTGCATTAAATGATTGATTGAGTCATGCATTTCTATCAAATTTTGATTATTATAGGCTAAGGGATTGATCGGGGTCATGTTGATTTTCAATTTAGGGTGATTTTAGATTAATAGTACAATTGACTGTCTTAAATTAAATCATGTTATGCATTTTACTTACTAATTTAATTATATCTTAAGTTATATAACTTCAAATCAAGATTCGTTTAAAGATTTAGAAACTGAACTTAAAAGGCTTTTTATAAATATAAAATTCAACATTCAATTCAATATATAAAAATTATAGTAAATTTTTAAAACTATCTCTTATGCAGTTGTTAGACAACCTATATAATCTCTAACAAAAATTCAAAATCTTTTCTTAGAAAATTTATATTTTGATTTTGTTTGATCCATTAAAAAGTAGACTAAAAAAACTTTCCAACCATGTAAAATTCAAATATTAAAACTTTGTAAATTAACACAAAAAATAAAACAACATTAATGTTGGAAAATCTTGTTCATACAAAGCATTTTTCTCAAGGTAATCCATTCCTCAAAACCAATATTGTCAAAATTGTATTGAATCCAAGATTAATAAGTTTACTACAAAAACAACAATTAGACTTTCATTTAAGCTTAAATAAATAATCTTTAAAGATAGTTTTGGTTTGAGAAGTACAAAAATATAAAGAAAGGTTTGCTTAAACTTTGAGAAACATTTTACAAAGAATTGCTAATCTTGAAATTTTGTATTTTTAATATAAACATTAAGACCAATCTGTTAAAATATTTTTTGATGATGTTTTTCAAATCAAATAACAATTTTGAAAGACATAATATTTATTTAGTACAAAAAATAATATATCATAAAAATCATGTATTAAATAAATCTTTTCAAAATCCAAAATCTTTTTCATTTCAAACATCACTTTGAAAAATATATCATTTATGTAGTACCAAAAATAATAAAACTTGAGAACATGTTCTAAATAAATCTTTTTCAAAATATTGATAAAGTTTATTTAACTTAATGTTTTGTTATTTCCAAATAAGGATTAATTCAAGTTTCACAGTGATGTTAATGATGAATAAACTAAGAAAAAGAAATGAAAAATAAGAAAGATGAGAAAAAGAAAAGATGTGAAAAAATAAGAAAAAAAGAAAAATGAAGGAAAAATGAAAACTTTAATTAAAAACCTGAAAAGGCAATTTAAGTGGAAAAAAAAAAGGAATTTGAGCTGAAAGCTTTAAAAAAGTAGCTTTAATGCATGAAAATTAATATCATTTGAAGATCTCATGGAATAGAGGCACGATTTGGCTTGATGAGTTCAAAAAATTAAGAACAACAATAGAATAGGCTTTTGTAGGAGAATTCTAAATTAATTTGTTCAAAATTGTATGAATATTTTATCCAAACATTTATCCTAGTGAATCTTCATTTGCTTATTTGTCCTTTATTTGATTTGTTCTTGAAATGAATATTCTTGCTTCAATTTATCTTGTTATTCACCATTTTTGCTTTTCCATAATGAATTGAATATGTGTGTGTTGGATTGCATTTGTCATAGAATTGGAATGATGACAAATAAATGACTAATGATAATATGAAAGATCATTGCTTTAGTCTAAAAAAAAGTTGAAAGTGAATGGGGAAAAATTAAAAAGAAGACGTATTTTGAAAAAAGCTTGAAAAAAATGTTGATATTCAAGGCCTATAATTGAAAGAAGAAGCATTTTGAAGTGGTTCAAATAATGTAATCAAGTGATAATATTAGCGAAAGGACATTTGGCCTCATAAATTAGTTAATAAGCTTGTTCGCACATTCTAAAGAAACTAAAAAAGAACCTTTCTATACAATTGAAAATGCATAAGGTTGATTTATATTTACATTTCATGTATTACATACATGACATTCATTGTAAACATTTGATAAATAAGAAATTTTGACTTTTGATTCTGAAATTGAAAGTAGCAAAGGAATAAGAATTTTTCAAGAAAAATTTTTAAATTTTATAATCCTTGATTGAGGAAAGCATTTCAAGGATGGGATTTTAAGCCTTAATTAAGGAAAGTTTTTAAAGATAAGGTTTTAATTCTCGGTTGAGAAAAATTTTTTGAAAATGAATTTTCATTCCTCAGTTGAGGAAGTTTTTCAAAGATTTTATTCCTCGGTTGAGAAATTTTTCAAAGATTTCTTTCCTCAGTTAAGGAAATTTTTTCAAAGATTCCATAAGTTGATTAAAGAAAAATTTACAAAGATTTCATTCCTTAGTTAAAGACATTTTTTTTAAGAAAAAATTTTCATTCCTTAATTTGGTAAAACTTTTTAAAGAATAGATCTCGATATTTGGTTGAGGAGAATTTTGCAAAGATAGGTTTAATCTTAGGTTGAGGAAAATTTTCGAAAATGAGATTTTGATCCTTGAAGAATGAAGTTATTTAAAGAAAAAAAATGATAAAACCTTGGTAAGGACAATTTTTAAAGTTTCAAAACTGTAAACCTTTGGTTAGAAGAGCCATTTTTATTTTTAAAGCTTTATAGTCTCTAGTTGGATGAGTATTTTTCAAAGTGAAATTTTTAAAATTTCATAGTTTTTTGTTAAAGGAGTATTTTACAAAAACATTTTGGAAAATTTAAGCTTGAAAATGGTTTAAAGGCCTTAAATTAATTTTTAGGTAATTTTTTTTGTAAGGCATGCAACGGCTGAAAGAATTCACGATGGTTGATTTATGGAATTTGCGATGATTTTGAATTTATTTAAAATTTTCTATAGAAGGTTCAAGATTTCGACAAAACTTTGAAGTTTCCAATGATGGAAACTTGGTTTTTAAGAAAGAATGAAAAAAAAAAAAGAAGAAGTGGGGAGAAGAAAAATGAGAAGTCTTAAGGAAAAAGGGATTTTGGTTTTCATAACAGCGAATAAACAATGTTGTTTACTCGAATAGGATCCATGCTTTCGCCTAAATTGATTCTTATACTGACTGGACCTAGTCGTAGGTTTCCTTTTTCTTTTTTTTGGTTATTTTTTATTTTTACTTTATTTTATTTTAATTTATGTTTTTAAATTCTATTTTTATTTTTTATTTTTTAAATTCTTGTTTTTTATTAATTTTATTTATTTAATTCTAATTTTATTTTCTATTTTTAATTCTATTTTTATTTTTTGTTTTTTCTTTTAATTATGTTTTCTTCTTAATCTTGATTTGATTTAATTTTATTCATTGAAAAATAATAAAGAAAATGAGAAAGAAAAAGAAATAATGTTGCTGTGAAATTTAATAGTAAATATGTATTTGTATAATTATTTCATATAAATTTTTAATAAATGGGAATTCTTTTTAGGGTGAAATTTTAAAAATGTACAGACGTGTATTATTCTTAAAAATTTGTAAGTAAAAAGATTTTATTAAAATTTAATCAAAGAATTTGAGGATTTTAAAAAAATTCAATATTAATAATTTTTATTTACTTTGAAATTAATAATTGTAAATAAATAAAAGGAATTAAAATAAACTACTTGTTATAAAATATTGAATATATCCAATGTCGAAACTTCTTTAAAGAAATAGACATGTTACTTGAATATTCTTAAAATGAAAATTTTTTGAGAGTTTCAATTGGATCATGATGTTGGAGAAAACCTATAAAAATATTTTTAATATTCAAATATCAACGTTAATAAAAAAAATAAATTAAAAATAAAGATCTTTTTAATTAATGTTTAAATAAGATAATATAAGATTAATTTGATACTAATTTATAAACGTTGTGGGGGTACCAAAACCTTATTCTCATGTTATTAACTCATGAACCTAGTTTGCTTAGAAGACCAAAATCTATTTTTTTTTAGAGATTTTTAGTCAAGTTTAATACATTTTTATAAAGAATAAATTCAATAGGTGACCAATCACACTTAATTAAAAAAATTGATATTAACTCTATATTTTTTGTAGTCGAGTTCTTGAACTGACATATTATGACACTAATCACCACAAAATGTGATATTAAATTTTCTCACTTTTTACTCATTTTTTCGATATCCAAACAAATACTTTTCAATCAACTGATATGATAAGATTAAATCAACGATTCAATTAATGATAATAATAAATTAGTCTATTTTGAATTATACTGTGATTGAATTAAATTATATTAAGACAAATAAAAGCATAAAAAATTAAAAGAAATTTTAAAAATAATGTAATTGAAAAAATTCACTCACGTAAAACTCTTCATTTCCTTCCCTCACTAGTTTGCTAATTGGCATATGAATGCAAATTGATTGATTGTTGGTACTAACATGGCATGATCTTTTGCTTAATCTCTCTTCTCTCAATACTTGCACCAAACTTCATCCAACAACTAAATCAAGATTAATCTTTTGCATTAGTCTAACTACTGCTTGTCTTCGGCTCGATCTCTTTTATTCCGTTTTCTTTCTCCATTTCTTTAAATTTTTTCTTTGTTTTTCTTCATTCTCTCCCTTCACAAGCTTCTTTGTGAAGAAGCTTCAATTTTTTTTTTCAATTCTAAAATGTTTATTTTGTCACTGCCAATCATAAGATGATTTTAAATAAAAAAATAACAAATTTCGTCAAATTAAAAAATCTTATGATTTGTTTCATTTGATAACTACTTGATTACAAACAAAAAATTGACAGATGCCATCAAATTGGAAATTCTACGGAGAATTTCATTTTGAAAATTATTTTAAAATCGATACTTACAGATGTAGTTAAAATTTATTTAATGTAATTAAATATTATTTTTTTACTTAATAACTTTTAAAACTAGTAAAATTTTTTTCTTAATAAATATATGTTTTTCTCATGGCATGAAACAATCATTACTTTGATTTTATCATCCCAAATTGTACTGCATCCCTTCAAATTCCGCTCCGTCCATGTTGTAATAAGCAAGAGACACAAAAACAAGAAAAAAAAAAAAAAAAAACAACACGCTTTTTTTCTTCTGTTGTCCCCGCTGTGAGGGCTGTGGAGGGCCCCCGGGACACCGGAAATCTTCGGTTTCTCCGCCTCCCTTCGCTCTCTCCCATGCCTTCCTCTTTATATATTATATTCTCATTCATCTCTTTCTCGAGGGCCGAGGCGGCCTCCATTTTTTGATCTCCGAAACTCCAAAGGCTTTTGCAGATTAGAATTTTTTTTTTCTCGTTGCTCTCTTCATTCATGTTCGAGAAACAATGTCCTTCATTTCAAATTTCACCGCGTCATTTGACGGCCAAAGGACGGCGTTTAATTCACCACACGCCCAATTAAAGTCCCATTCGCTTGCTTCCATCAATTCAAAACCCACGATTACGATTGCCAGACCGTTTCGGGTAAATTTGACTCATTATTTACTAATATTATTTTTAAATTCTCTTTTTCTTTTGACTTGGTTGATCAATTTTGTAGCTGCATTAATGCTGATTCTTTTATTTTTATTTTCGATTTTGTTCCCCTTATTTTATTGTAGATAGACACATTTGGCAGCTCCCGGATAGCTCTTGGTAGGTCGAGTAGAGTCGGTAGAGAACGAAGCCCACGCTTGACATTGATAAATGAGAGGCTTGGACATGATCGAAATGTAGCTGGGCCCTCTTCAATACTGGTAACAAGCCTTTGGAATAACTCAGAGTGATGAGAAGTAAATTTCATTTTTACCATTTTAATTAACTTTAATTTGCTCTTATTTGGGTGTACTTTATAAATTTTAGAAATTCACAGAACTAAATATTTTACTGCTAGAATATATTTTAATCAACACGTTGTTTGTTCAAGCGCTGTTAAATTATTATCTCTTTATATAGATTAAAGTTAAACACATTGTTACATGGTAATATGCAGTAATGAAACATTGATTTTGTGTATGATGTTCTTAACTGGCTATGTTTTATATTTTGTTTGCAGGCATATGAACTAGTTCAAGGAAAACTTGTAAGTTTTCTTATTTTAAAATATGGTATTTCATATCTTTTGTAGCTTTGAAATAGATAATTGGAAACAAAAAATAGGTCATTGGTATTAGTTGTGCTAATGCGTTATGCAATTGCTTTCATTGGATTAACATGATAGATTCTTTGTTCTAGAATAATTTTTTTTTAAGTGGATTCAATATTATAACCTCTTTATGCTTTTCAGCTTTTCTGAACTCTAAAGTCTTTCCCATTATGGTTACTGCATACTGTAATTGATTGATTAGGTATGTTTGTTGCAAACCCATCATATGGGATTTTTTTTTTTTTTATGTATATAGGGAGAAACGACAATCATCTCTATTGCAAATGAGGATAAAATAATCATGGTTTTGCTTTTCAAATTATTGTAATTCTAATGTTCATTTTTGGAATATGATAAATGGAGTTTTATTTACTTTATATACTAATAAAAATATTTAGTGTATGGTAATTGTTACAAATTAGAATAGATTGTAAAATGCCTTTCCTTTTTCTATGTTCTTGAGCATCTATATGAATCTTTTCTTCCTTAATTTTTAAAGTTAGAAATGATGTTTCTGCTTGAATTCAACAGAACTTATGCATAGAAACTTCTACACAGGTAAAGTGGAGTTCAATGGTAGTATTGAACAGGTCAATACCAGAACCTCCAACAGCTGTTCTCTTGCATGGCATTCTTGGTAGCAGAAAGAACTGGGGTAAGCACCTATAGGTAATCAGTTAATACCTTTGTATATGTATGTCATCATTCTGTGCATTTCTGCGCATGTTCTTTTTTCTCCCATAGCCTGAAATGGGATATAGTTTTGCACCTTCTTTTGGGAATTGGAATGATCTTTTTCTTTGTGTATATATATCTCATTTATTTCTAAGTAATGATCTTTTCCCTTTCTAAAAGGCACGAAATTATGGAACTTAGAGAATTATCTTTCCCTTCAGAAAAAAAGTTAAGAATTTTTTGTAAATATTGGTTTTCAGGAATTAAATACATATTGTACTCCTTGATATTCCATTTTGAATTAAGCATAATTTTACATGATACTTTAATTTTTTGGGGCAACCAGATTGTACACTGTAGCTAATTGATATTTCAATTGGGAAAAAAATAATTGTTATCTATAAATGACATTGTCTTTGATCGGATGATGCAAACAAATCCACAAGATCCAGCTATTAAAACCAAAAATGAGAGGCTTCCACTTTACCTGCCCTTACAATTTTCATTTAGTGGTTGAGTTGTCCTATATTCTGTTCTCAACTCTTTCAAGTGGTTACAATTAGTTTTCTAATTTAGCAAACATCTTGTTTCCTCGCATAATCGCAGTTATGTTCTTTACTGAGCATTTTCTGACATGTCCAATTTCCACTCTGTTTTAGGGTATTGATTATCTGCTGTTTGTATATGTCTTGGTTATTTTTCTTCCATATATTTTAAGTAAAAATCTATTGTTTGCATTTTGCACATGAGAGTAAGAGGATAGTAAAGTATGTGTTTTAAATGCTGCAGGAACTTTTGCTCGGCGACTGGCACAAGAATTTCCATCATGGCAGGTATCTTTTAGTAACATTCTAGTATTCTTTTTTATGTTCCTCCCACCTTTGTGTGATCATACCCTTCAGTTGATCTGGTAATTTTATGTCATTAGTAAGTCCCTTTTTGTCTCCCATTTCAAAGCAAAGAATTCTATTTGTCATCTTACCCAATTAGTCTGCCATTTTACCAAATTAGTCTGTCATTTGATGCCTTAGAACTATTATTGCTAATCATTGTGAATTACTTGAAAGTTATGATGGCATTATGACATCTGTGCAATAGATATTTATGATCTGCTTAATGTGGTTTATGTGGTAACTTGGCTCTTGGAAATTAAGATGTTTACAAGCATTAATGCCCACATGTTGTGGTAGGCCTTTTTGTGATAAATAGATATAAAAAAAAAGAAAATAATGTAGTTAATTGATTGAGATACTTAAATTGTTAAAAGATAAGGTTCTTTGAATCTTTTACTGAATGAAACATGAATAAAATAGAAACAAACAACTTGGTTAATTATTTAAAAAAAAGAAGGTTCATTTGAATCTTTGATTGAATGAAACATTAATAAAATAGAAAGAAATGCTTGGTTACAAAAGAGAAGGATGATTGGAAATAAAGTTTGAGGATCAAGGTCAAAACTAGAAATTAAAAAGTGATGGGAAGAAACAATGAGCTTAAAATACAGAGTGTGACACTCTTAAAAAGAAAATAACAAAAGCACTAAAAGTTAAACATTCTAGGCCCAAAAATGGTTAAAATAAATTACTGAGAGGGCGTTTGGATGGTAGAATCTAACTTTCCCTCATGAAATCTAACTTTTTATTATTTGATTCCTTAGTTTGGTTGGGAAACTTTTTACGTATCAGGAATCTTATATTCCTAACAGTGTAAAAAAAGGGGAAAGTAGGGTAATAAAAAACTCTCCTCTCCCTTTGGGTTTTTTAGATTCCAAGGGGAAAGTAAAAATTTTTTCTCATTTGTCCTCACTTAATTGCATTTTTGGACTATATAGGCAACATATTTACCTTAGAAATGCGGTAATTTTTTTAAGATATTATGAAAATAAAATTTTCTTAACATATTTTAAACAAAGATCACATTTTTTAGAATAAAAATGTGGTCTTTGTTATATTTTCAACAAAGACTGCGTTTTCAAGATTAAAAACAGGATACTTGTGGAAAATATATTATGAAAAAATTATATATTTTTTTATGGTTTAAACATAGGCCACATTTTTCTTTTTAAAAACACGGTTTTTGTTGAAAATATATTGTGAAAAAATTTTAGATTAAAAAATTTATTTGCTCCTAACAAATAAAAAAAATGGTTTTTTGGAAAACGATGATGTTTTATTACAAAAAATGTCATCTTTTTAATATTAACTATGGTTTCTTGAGATTAAATGTGATCTATGTTAGTAACATATAGGAGGTGGAAGCATGTGATGCAAAGCTCCCACATGGGGTAGAAAGCGCAAGGAAAGAAAAAAGTGGGCTGGAGATAGAAGGTTGGAACTTGGAAGGGTGGGACCATGGGAGGACCAATGGTACAGATTCTATCATATTATATATAGTTGGTGTAATCATTCCTCGTATTGCTGTATTGCTCAAAGTTTCGTACAAGGCATAATGTTTTAAAGTCCATTCATGAATAGGTAAAATCTTTTTGAATATTTGAAATATTTAACTAAATAGATAAATAATTTATAATTAAAAATCTTATAAAATATTAAATAAATAATTTATTTTCATGAAATACAGAAAATAACTTAATTTATTTAACTTTATGTCCAAGTGTTAAATATTTCAAATATTCAAAAAGATATACATGATAATAATGTCATGTATGTCACTCGTTGTCAAGGACAATATAGCAAAAGAATTTATTAGGCAATCTTTTTTTTTTTTTGAAGTTCCTAATCTACTCTTAAACCCCCCTACCCCACTACATACTTGGCTGAAGAGGACATTAGGTGCCTAAGCTCTCTCGAACTTGCAACTTTCAAATGCCAACTCCAATGACATGCCAATCGATCCAAGGATAGTCGGCACTTTATTAGGCAGTCTTACATTCCTCTAACCAAATACAAAAATCTTATGTTTCCTAAGGTCAAAAAACCCCAGGAATCACCCATTCTCCTTCAATATCACTTTCTTTAGAGTTACTTTTCCTCCCGAAATTAAAGGATCTGGGAACCAAACAATCCCTAAGAGTTTTGGTATGCATGTTAACTATAAACTGTTGTCATTAGTTGAATGCAATAGTAGTATAGCATTTAGTACATTTCTATAAAATGATTTAATTGGTTTTTTAGTTGTAATATTATTTTCTTGTCATTTTTCTAATGTGTAAAATTGTTGGTTAGAAACGATTATTGGCAAACATAAACTCATACGTGACAGATAAGTCTATAAACTAAAGTGATAATGAATTCAATTACAAGGTAATAAGGAATTAAGAAAAGATGAGATTGGAAAATATGATATTCTCAAAGAGGAAATGAGAAAACCTAAATGGAAGGAAAGTTCAATATTATAGGCACAAAAGGGCCAACAAACGAAGTAAAGAGTATATGCATAACTGTTAAACATATGAAAGGTCATGAGAACAAAAAAAAAATGATGGTGGGCAGTGTTCCAGGAACAATGCCGTAATCGTTAAACATTGACAGTTTTGAGTTTATGAGGGAAGGGGTCTATGCATGTCTTTAATAATTATTTTACTTGGTTTGGACTCATACATTCGCTGGACTAGGAAAATTCTGGTTTCTAGGTATTTATTTTTTAAAGCAGAGTTAAACAGCTTCAATTGTTGACATTATGATGATGATGTAGGCTTTTAGGATACAGCCAGTTCATCTACGTTGGGGCTTCAATGGAACATAGAACAGGTTCTTTCCTGTCTTTCAGGATTGTTATAGGATTTATTGAACCATTGCAAATTACAGCAGCCAAGTCAAAGAATTAAAGATCTTGAAAACGCACCTCAATAGAACACAAAGCATATTATAGGAAACTAACCCACTTATATGCCATGGAACTACTGTACCCAATGATGGACCAGAATGCCTTATTGGTGTCATGCCTTGAATAAAGCATAAAAAACATGATGGATAACAGTTATGTCAGCATCCGATTAAAGCATATAAAAGGTTCTTTGATGCAAACTTCAATTTGGATACCTAAGAAGATTGATAGCTGACATGGGATCTTCACTGATTAGGTTTGGTTTAATTGTATTCTTCAGTTTACCAACTTTTCTTCATTTTACTAGATCAAGGATGTTTGTGTAAATCTTATAATGTTGTCGTTGGTCTTAGTTTGGTCTTGCAGAACTATTGGGTCCTTATATATGGTCCAATCATGTGATTGGTGTCAGTCTTATCTTCTTGTAGTGCAGGTGAAGTTGGTCTTTTATATTGTCATATAGCAAACTTGACGAGCATTTTTTCATGACGTAGAACTCTTGTAAGGTTGTAAATGTCTTATTTTCTATGTTTGATTTCATAGGAAACCCTAGGGGAGATTGCCTAAGGTTCACCATTTATCCACTAAATAGACAAGGCCTACTAAGCACCAACATGGCTCTGACTTTGATGTATTTGTGTTGGATACATGTCTGAACGTTTGACATGGACACACATTCGACACCCCCAGATTCGTATACAATACTGTCAGATATGTAAAAAAATTTTAAAAACAAAATTGTTTTTTTGGACGCTATGGACACAATGATACGGCCTGGACATGGCAATGAAGGGGCAAAAACTTTTCTTGCTAATGGCTGTGAAGGTACAAATGGTTAGTGTCACTGTTTACTCAGAGAAACAAAAGAGAGGGAAACATTGGGTACAAAGCAATCTTCTCTTTCTTTCAGCATCAGATGGAGCCAATCTAATTGAGTGATACTCCAATTGGTGGGAAAAAGTTGATGAAAGAATGATGCAATATAGAGTTGGAAGGAGATGAGAGGGGAAAAAGATAAGTGGCTCTATTGTTCAACCACAACCGACCTACAGATTGTTTAAAAAGAAAAGAATTTGGTTTGAAATTGGAAACCGCTGGAGTTACGGCGTATAATATATTAGGCTGGTTCAAATAATATATTGGGCTTGGTCAAATCTTTGATTGTACAACTTAAAATCTTATTGGGTAAATATTTTGAGCAAATATACTTATTGGGCTAGATTTATTTATAAGAATTCAATATAAGTATAAAATTATCTTAAAATTTAACAATAACAAAATATTTTTAAAAATGATTTTAGTGCATGTTGGTTATTTTTCATTCAAAATTAAGAAACTTATATAATATATATATACATGTTAATATATATATAATTTTTTTAATTGATGTATCCTGCCACATTGTCCTAATTTTTTAAAAATGCTGTATTGCCGGGTCCGTGTCATGTCTTACCTGTTCCTGTGTCAGATCTTCCTAGGACAAGGCTAACTGTTCCCTAGACCCTAAAACTGTCTGACTCTTAATTGCCCCCTATTTTGCACAATAGTTTCCTTGCTAATTTTTAGCCAAGAAGCAAATTCTAATTCCACCACTACAATACTGAGCCCTGATTACCTTTCCACCACATAAATTTGATCAATGCAAGTTTCTAAATTAAAACACAACCAAAACTGGACCGTTGGCATGCAGGAGTCCAGGAACCTTCATTTTAACTTTCTGGTAGCAAAACACCTTATTTTGAGTGGAGGACCTTAACCTTAGACCTAGATTGGTGAAGATGACATTTCCAATCTAATTGTGCTGCCACTGGGAATCAATTCTTTGCTTTGTTTTTGTTTCTTTTCTTCCCTATCCCCTCCCTTATTTATGTGTGTGTGTGTGTGTGTGTGTGTGTATATATATATATATATATATTTCTTATTTCTTTTTTCCCATTTCTTGGCCCTTAGACCTACATTGGCTCAGGATCATGTGCAGTTAGATGGATTGCTAGAAAATTTAATTTATGATGCTGCCAAGAATCTCATATGTTCTAATATTTTTGCATGATGCAGTTTGTTTTGGTAGACTTGAGGTGCCATGGTGATTCAGCATCAATCAAGAAGAGAGGTCCACATACTGTTGCTTCAACTGCTTTAGACGTGCTAAAACTAGTGCGTGGTTCTTAAGCCTGACTGTTAGTTTTATACTCGAATATGATCCTTTAATTGTGATTTTAGTTGACAGTCCTCCGGTGGGAGAACCATAGTGAAGAAGAATTGACATATTAATTTCATTTAACCAAGATATAATGATGAGAATGCTTCAATACCTCCTTTGTCATTGTAAAATTATTATTAGTTTACTTCTTGATAAGCATGTTTTAGGACATTTAAGACAGACTTACTCCATTGTTTTGTCTATTCTGGTAATTTTTTGGTTTCAATTATAATCATGACACAATTGATTATTGTACTTTTGACACGATTGCTTTTCTGGAAATGATTTTGATTCAAACTTCCTGAAAAGCTAGGACTGTTCTTATATCACTTAAATTCCTATTCAAACAAACACTTAAAAGATGAGGATGTTTTTCAGTTGTGCAGCTGAAATAGTCCTTGTTCTCTGATTTAATGATGTATTATAGAGGTCCTCCTTCTATCCATTCAATTCCCTCAATTATTAATTGAGTAGCTGCATTAATCCCAGTAGGTGTTTTCATTCCCTCCCAAGCTTTATAAGGTAGAACTTAACAAACTAAGTCTTTAACATTTAAGTCCTTCATTTAAAATTGGTTTTCCACTTCTTTGTCTCTGCCAAAAAAAAAAAGAACAGGAAATTAGAGAAGAAAATTGTACATTTAAGACTTCTGTTTTTTATTCTTCTTCTCAATAACGTTTTTCTGTCTCTCTGCTGGAATAGATTGCACAACTTAGAATAACACCCCGAGTTCTAATTGGCCATAGCTTTGGAGGAAAAGGTATTTTTATTTTTTAGTCTTTAGGATGGTTAATAACCTTAATTCTGGTGATATATGATATAAATATAATCATTTGAGGAGATACAAATGGAAGTATGCTCTCTATTTGTTTTTCAGTTGTCTTGAGCATGGTGGAACAAGCTGCAAAGCCACTTCCACGACCAGTTAGAGTAAGTTCTTTTCTTTCTCTTAGATATTTTGAAGTTCGTTTTTTAGTCTTTTAGATGCACTGGTTGAATGCTAATCACATCTTTAGGTGTATATATTTTAATTTGGAGATTCTTCTTTTTTTTTGGGGGGCAGAATAATTTGGAGCGGTTTAAGGAACTCAAATTTACATTAGAGCTTTGCGACATTTTAGATATAGATATGGGGGAAAAGGATCAACTGGTTACATAATCAATTTTGCATAGACCATGGACCTGAAATATATATAGATTATTGCTTTAGTTTCTTTTTCCCTCCCTTTAATTTTCTTTATAATTTGCCTTTATGGTTTGCTTCATAAATTTCTATAGGTTTGGGTTCTAGATGCCACTCCTGGAAAAGTTCAAGCTGGTGCAGATGGTGATGACCATCCGGCAGAGCTAATATCTTTCTTAAGGAAACTGCCTAAGGAGGTGAATCTTTGTGTCACTTTGTGGATGTATTTTTTCATTTGATATATTAACTATGCTATTGACATCCTTGTCTAATCTTTTGTTTGATGGATTTGAACTTCCTTAGTCCAATTATTTGCATACTAGTAGAATTCATTGGCCATGCCATTGATTCATTGGTACCCGATCAATCTATGTTGGTTATTTTGATATGTTCTTTTATCTTTGCTGTTTTACCTTATTTTGTGGTTAGAAATTATATTTTCATTTTATTAAGTGATCTTGTGACTACTATGTGATCTTTAAAGAGTTTGAATGGCTGGGATTAGATGGGGGTTATGTGTATCCAGGGGCTAGGAATATAAGCTTCTGTAACCCTAGTAGACATAGTCTTCTAGATGCATTGGGCAGCCATATTTAACAAGAGGTTGGACAACCCTACACCCTAGTTGTTTTGTTCAAACCTAAGTTTACATCAATTTTGACCCTCTATTATGTTTTTCTTTAACTGTTTTAGTTATCCTTGAATATTTCCCTTTGTTCAAGCTAGGTGTTCATATATGATCTCATTACGTGGATATTGTTTGCAAAACCTCTTTAGATTGATAGTAATTATGTCTTTGTTTTTTCTTTTTATTTTAATTTTAGCTTTAAATTCACTATTTTACTAATTCACTTGTAGCAAGAGTTAAATTAACAACTTTTTCTGCCAAAATTAAACTAATCCGTGTATCATTTTCTTGCTATATTTTCACTTTATTGGTTTTGAATTTCCTGCATGCCATCCACACAAAAAAAAGAAAGAGAACCACTCTTTTATATGTTTCCTTCTTTTGAATGTGGCTTTAAACTTGCTGCAATTTTTATTTAAGGCAGGTCTCTTCAAAACGGGACATTGTGAATGCTCTCGTTCAAAAAGGGTTTTCTAAGGATGTTGCACAGGTATATTTCCACAACCACCAATGATGGGGCTCCTTTGGAGTTTTACTTCATTTCATACCCATTTTAACCCTGTTTAATCTTTATATGTAGCAGGTCTATGATTTATGTTTGGTGTTTAGTCACTGGTGATGACTATTATATGAGTTTATTTGCGATAATACTGCACTTTATTTGCATGATCAGTTATTTAATAAACATCAGTGTTCAATATAAATAAATATATATATATATAAATTGCTTCTTTTTTGTTGTTTTGTTTGTTATTTGTGGAGTTTTCTTTATAATCAACAAAGTTTAACCTTCTTTTATATTATCTTAACTAAAGCACATCAATTTAGACAATCTACTTGACCATCTTGGGCGTGCTATATGATCTAATAGTCAAGTATATAATTTATTTTCTTATTCATTTACTTCTGTCTCTGTAAAGGGGTGGAACATTCTAATTCTTATATTTTAGTCCATTCAAGATTTATGTAAATGCATCACATGTGGCATAGGACAAAGATATCCTTTAGAAGAAATTTTTAATTAGTCTAGTTTTCATTTTTGATAATACTTCGTTTGAAGCATGTTAAAAATTTAGGGACTCAAGAATAGTCTAAAATATTGGCTAAAATACCATATAAGCCTTTAAACTATCCCAAATTTTCCAAAAAAGCTAATATCCTTGTACAATGTCCAAATAAACTGTATTCTATCATTTTGACCCATAAAGCCCTTATGTTGACAAAAAAAAATGTCAAATGACACATGGCCTTAGCAGCCATTAGGCTTATGTAAGGTTCGCATCCTTTGCACTTGTTGCAAATGATGTGATTTTTTTGACATGGCAAAATTGGCTAACTAGAGTGGCCGTTAGGCTCATGGCAAGCTGGCATCTTTTACACTCTTGGCAAATGATGTGACTTTTCTGACATGGCAAATTGGTTGACTAGAATGGCCATGTTTTAGGCAGCAAATTTTCTCACTTAACCACTTTTGTCACTGTGGCAAAACTAAGAAACAAAATTGTGTGGAAATCTAAGAGTAAAACTGAATGTATTTTGAAAAACTGCTCATAAATAATATACAAGCACCTTAGGTTTATATACAACTAACTAGTGAGTAAACTAGAAAACTAAACCTTACTAAAATTGATCCTATAATTGAGGGATTGTTTATTTTAATTTTTTGTCCTTAATTTTAGAGATACAAATACTTAATTTTAGAGATACAAATATAAATATACAGATTTTAAGATTACAGCCAGTTGTAAATAAGTGTTTTCCCACACTCTCCCTCAAGCTAGTAAATAGGTGTTTTCCATTCCTAGCTTGGAAATAATTTCTTGAAATGTTGCACTGCTGAGACCTTTAGTCAACACATATGCAAGTTAACCTCTGGTTGATACATACGGTGTACAAATAACCTGCTATCTAGTTTCTCCTTTATGAAATGCCAGTCTACTTCAATGTGTTTTATTCTGTCATGTTGCACAAGATTGTGTGTAATTTTTATTGCAAACTTGTTATCATAGTAGAGTCTCATTTGGTCCATCCCACTTGATTTTCAAGTCTTCTGAGATAATCTTTAACCATAGTAATTCACAAATTCCTTGAGCCATTGCTTTGAACTCTGCTTTAGCACTTGATCTTGCCACCACATTCTATTTTTTACTCCTCCAAGTCATAAGATTACGACCTATGAAAGTGCAATAGCCTGAGCTAGATCTTCTATTAGTTACTAAACTTGCATAATCAGCATTTGCATATGCTTTTAGAATCAGCCCCGAATTTCTTTTGAATAAGATACCTCTCCTAGGATTGGCCTTCAAATAGTGCAATACAAGGTAGACAGCCTATAGGTGCACTTCTTTAGGACTATGCATAAATTGACTTATCACACTTACAACATATGCTATATCAGGTCTAGTATGTGAGAGATAAATGAGTCTTCCAACTAATCTCTGGTACATCTCTTTATATATAGCAACATCTTCATCAGCTTCTCCAAGTTTATGATTAGGATCTATAAGGGTATTTACAGGTATAGATGTGAGCTTCCCAGTTTCCTTCAAAAAGTCCATCACATATTTTTATTATGAGATGAAAATACCATACTGTGAGTGAGCTACTTCAATTCCTAGGAATTACTTCAATCTCCCTAGCTCTTTTATCTCAAATTCTCTAACCAAACATTGTTTTAGAGCTTCCCTTTTTCATCATCTCCGATTGCAATTATATCATCAACATACACTAAACTATGACTCTTCCTGAATCAAAGTGCTTGATAAACTATGTGTGATCTCCTTGACTTTGCTTATATCCCATTGCTAGCATCACTTTGGCAAATCTCTCAAACTAAGCCCTAGGAGACTGTTTAAGGTCATATAAAGCCTTTTTCAGCTTGGATACTTTGTTTGCTTTTAGATAACCTCCAAATCTTGGTGGAACCTTCATATATATTTCTTCTTCCAAATCACTATGTAGAAAAGCATTCTTTACATCAAATTGTTGAAGTTGACAATTGTAATTTGTAGCCAATGGTAACGAAATCCTAACTGTATTCCTCATGGCAACTGGAGCAAAAGTTTCCTGATAATCCACTCTATAAGTTTGAGTGTAGCTCTTAGCCACCAACCTGGCTTCATATCTTTCAACAGTACCATCTGCCTTGTGTTTTACAGTGAAAACCCGATTACATCCAATTGAATTTTTTCCTTTATGCAACTCTACCTGTTCCCATGTCTTATTTTTCTCTAAGGCCTTCATTTCTATTTTCATGGCTTGCCTCCATTTCTCATTGGACAATGCCTCGGATAATGTAGTTGGAATAGAAATAGTGTTTAGGCTCACAAGGAAATTTTTGTGGGATGGTGAGAATTTTTCAAATGACACAAAATTAGAGATTGGGTATAGTGGATGCTTAGTTCATTATTTGGTTCCTTTCCTGATGGCAATAGCCAGCTCATAATCAATAGTTATAGTTTTAGGAGATTCATGCTTATTTTGAGAAACAAAGTCAAAGGCTGGTGTTTCCTCATTTCCAAAGTTAGGATCAGGTTCTTGGACTTGCACTGGTTCAGGATTTGAAACTTTCCTTCTTGAGTACACTTCTAATTCCTTCATAGAATCAAGAACAATATTATCTTTTGTCACATTTTCTGTGTTTGGAATGGGTTTAGACTCAAATTCAGTGTTTGATTTGGACTCAGAAGAAATAGGTTTCAACTCAGAAGAATTAATGGGTGAAAATGTTGAAGAGGAGGAAAAATCAATAGAAAAGAAATTTTTATCCTTATCTTCCATGAATGAAGTCTCCCCCTGAAGATAAGGTTGAGTAAAAAATGGTTTACTTTCTTTAAAAGTGACATTTGCAGATGCATAATTTTTTGCTAAAAGGATGATAATGCTTATACCTTTTTTGAGTTGATGAATGCCCCTAAAAAATGCACTTAATTGCTCTAGGATTCAATTTCCCCCTATTATGACTATGAACATGAACAAATGATGTACAACCAAATATCTTATGTGTGAGGTTGTTTGTGGTATTAAAGTTGGAATAGAATTGTGAGAGTAGTTCCATAGGAGTTTTAAACCCCAAAATCCTTTAAGATAATCTATTTATAATATGTGTGGCAGTGAGAACAACTTTCCCCCAGTAGGATTTGGATACGTTTGCTTGGAAATGTAAAACTCAGGTTGTGGTTAGCAAATGATTGTTTTTCCTCTCTACAACTTCATTCTGCTGTGGAGTATTAGCACAAGATGACTCATGGATAATCCTCTCTTTTTGGAAATAGGTAGATAAACTCTGGTAGAAATAGTCTCTTGCATTATTAGACCTAAATCTCTTGATTTTCACTCTAAATTAATTCTGGATTATGTTTTGGAAGCTTAAAAACACACTATTCACATCTAATTTGGATTTAAGTAAAAATACCCAAGAGAGCCTGGTACAATCATCTATGAAAGAAACAAACCACCTTGCACCAGAAATATTAGGAATTATAGAGGGACCTCATATGTCACTATGAATCAAGAAAAAAGGAGTAGAACTTCTTTTATTGCTAATTGGAAAAGACAAATGTCTATGCTTTGCAAGAGCACAAACATCACAATGAAAATTTTTGACATTTAATCCTTTGAGCAAAGAAGGGAACATGTTTTCCAAAGTTCCAAAAGAAGGACGTCTAAGACGAAAATAATAAATCCAAATTTTGTCTTTATTTGAAGATTTTTCAAAAAGAAATGACAAAGGTAAACTATTCTTGATATTACTTGTGTTATTTGATGTCTCAATATAGTATAGTCCATCCTTCCCCTTAGCAAGTTCAATCATCTTTTTCGAACTTTGGTCCTGAAATTCACAATAAGAGGGATAAAAAGTCACTTTGCAGTTCATGTCTCTAGTAAGTTTTTATATAGATATCATATTAGTAAACAATTCAGGAACATGACGAACATTTTTAGGAACAAACAAGGGATTAATTTGAACATCTCCTAATCCTGCCACTGTAGTAAGTGAACCATTTGCAACAACAATTTTCTTATTACTATGACATATGGTATATGTACTAAACTTCTGTGAGGAATGTATCATATAGTCTGTGGCTCCTAAGTTAATGACCCAAAAACTCGTAATAGGCTTAACCGAGACATTTAATCTGTGAGAACTAGAAGCTTGACCTAAACTAGAGACCTTACCCAAAGAACATACCCTAGTACGCTTTTCGAGAGTTTTCAATAGGCTTCCTAGTTTTTTAATCTCTACTTTATCAAACTCTCTTTGTTTCCAACAATTCTGTAGTACTCCGGTAGTTTTACCAATTATCACTTCCTCAAATTGGGTAGTAGTGGTAGATTTTGCTATCTCTGGCATGATTATCTTTCTCAAGACTGAAATGAGTGTTGATAGTAAAGGTTTAACCAAAGACGATTCTAGGCAATGAAGACCAAAGAAGGAAAAAATAAAACTGAAAGATTTAACAAGATTTGGCTATGAAGGCCTGTAATAGAATTCAGCAATGAAGGCTAAAAAAATTTTCTTTTCAAGAAAAGCCTAAAGCTCTGATACCATGTGAAAACACTAAGAAATAAAACTATGTGAAAATCTAAGAGTAAAACTACATGTATATTGAAAAATTGCTCATAAAGAATTATACAAGCACCTTAGGTTTATATACAACTAACTAGTGGGTAAACTAGGAAACTAAGTCTTCGTAAAACTGATCCTATAATTGAGGGATTGTTTATCCTAATTTTTTGTCCTTAATTCTAAAGATACAAATATAAATATAAAAATTACAGGATTATAATCAGCTTTAAATAAGTGTTTTTCCACATTCACGGTAGAAAAGCTACATCAACATCCATATGTGTTGAAGATGTCAACCGGCCAATACTTGTTAAGGTCATGCAATACCCAAATCCGAAATGACCTAACCTAAAATAATCCAAACATGAAATGATCATAACTTGAAAGAATTTGAACCTGAAACGATTCAACCCTAAAACAAACCGAACACGAATTGACCTAAACTTGAGACTTGCACTTCTTATTCCATTTCAAACCAATTTTGCTTTTAAAAATGTTAAACGTGTATAAGTATAATTAAAAAAATTATTGCATTACATGCAAAAGCTTATTTAAAAAAAAAAAGAATAATTAGCTTTGGATTTGAACATTCGGTTCATATTGAAATGGTTATAACTTCCATAAACTCTAAAACGGTGTAAAATTGGCTCCAACCTGACCTGAACTGAAGACAACACAACTCAAAAACAACCTGAACATGAAACAAATCCAAACTCGATGTAACCTGAACCCAAGATGAACTGCCGGAGCCTGATTGTTTGCCACCTCTTCTAAGCACTACATCAAAAACATAAAAAAAGGAAAACAAGCACAAACACATATAGCGTCACAGAATTGGTTATCTGTATAGTCTTTATTTCTCAGTTCTTTTAGATACTGTTCTATATATTTCTGAGATGATTTCATGACTAAAAAAATAGAGCAAAAGGAATAATATTTTCAACTTTGATTGGACTTCATTTGTCATGTTTCTCATATGAAATCATATTTCAGTTGCTCCGAAATTTTACCTAGTTTTTACTTGTTCAGTGGGTTGTAACTAATCTTCGACCAACCAGTGCTGCTGGTTCATCATTGTCAAGCTTCTCTTGGGTGTTTGACCTTGAAGGGATTTACGAAATGTACCAGTCCTATGAAGAAACAAATTTATGGTAATCTTACCTGGATACAGCTATAGGGCGTGGTTTGCTTTTTACTTTACTTGTCCACGTTCAGCCTGAATGTTGTCTGTTATGTGACTTTTATGTGTTATATATCTGGAGTGATAAACACAATAAGAAGTGAAATTTGTGCCCTATTTTAAAAGCATTTATTTGATTATCTGCGACCTTTTAAGCTTAAAGCTTGTATATTTTCTTTCTTTTTATTCTTTTGGCTGCATAAATGCAGGAAAGTGGTGGAAAATCTACCTCGTGGTGTGCATGTTAATTTTTTGAAAGCAGAAAGGAGTTTGCATCGGTGGGCCCTTGAAGATCTTCAGCGAATTCATGCTGCTGAAGAGTCTGCTGCTGATAAGGGAGGTGGAGTTGAGATGCATGTCCTTGAAGATGCCGGGCACTGGGTACATCTATTGCACATGCTTTAATTTCTTTATGTTTTCTCCTTTGCTCATAGCGTTTGCCTGGAGTTACACCAATTATTTGTCATGTCTCTCAGTTTAGTTTTTGAACAAGATTGGTGTATAACCTAAAAAGTATTACTGAGTTTCATACTCAATAAAGTGTGTAGAACCTTATAAGCATTACACTTTTCAAGAAATTGATTGTGCTATCCCAATATGATGTCAGAGACTGACATTGTTCTATAATCACTATCTTCCAAAGATATGAAGGATCTTTCAGGCTGCTTGAAATTATGCAACCTAAATAGAAAAAGCTCTTGTAACTAATGAAAACTGAATAGAAAAAAAAGTGCAACTTTCCTGAGCTGTACCTCTAATTTCTGTTAGCATTCAGAACATATGAAATCAGTCTGGTCTGCTGCACTTTTACACAGCAAGAACATCTGGAAAACTTTTGCTTGAGATGCGATTCTGTGGGCTGATTTAGTTATATGTTTGCTGAATAGTTCTGGGTAGCTGTATCATTTGTAATTTTGGATGGGTTGCAGAGTTATATTCCCTGAATGCGAGGATGTTTAGTAATGTTTGTTTATCTTGCTTTACGTCAAAGTGGTGCTCATTTTCAATTGAATTTATTAATAGGTACATGCTGATAACCCAGATGGACTCTTCAGGATCCTTTCATTTACTTTCAAGGGAGTTAAAGTTTAAAGGCTGTGTACTGCTTCTATTCAAGGTTTAATATTTATGTGCTCTGAGTTACACAAAATCAACATTAATTATTCACCTTAGCCCAAAATTGTAACTTGATTCATATAATGAACATTCTTCTATTTTTCTCCCCATTCCAGTTTCCACTGCTGAGTGTTTTTTTCTAGGTTGAATTAATTTGTGGCACAGCACTTTTTAGGAAAAAAAAATTTCAGTAGGTTTTGTGATGTGGGAAATCATTCTTGTACCATGGTATAATAGAGAAATTACATTTAGAGTTGTTATAGATTCTTTTTTCATTAAATTGCCTTTGTTCAGTTTTGGTGCTGGCAACATTTTGCAGGAAGGGATCTTTTCTTTCTGGCTCTCTCGGCCAGGTATTTCATTTTATTTTCTCTTCTTTGGTTCTTCCATATCTGGCTTGAGCTTGGGGAGGATGAATACTTTGTAATTTCTCAAAGAAAGATTAGAATCCAAGTGGCAACCAAATTTTCCAAAGCTGCCTTTTTTATTTGTTTAAAGTAATAAAATCACTTAAAGAGTAGAAGAAAAATGAAATTTAAACGAGATGGAATAGAGAGAATTTCTTATTAATTGAAGTCTCGGCCATAAGGAAACTACATAAGCTCAATGTTTTTGAGAATGTGCTTGGAAGCAATTTATTAATCGATGAAGTACCCATCAAGCTTACAGTAATCACCAAAATCAAGAATTCTGTAGCAGAAAATATTACTAGTTTCAATTTTGGCCCCAAAAAGGGAGTTCATCCATAGCAGTGACAAATCTTACTTCCCTTGATTACGTGCTAGATTTTAGGTGATTCAAATGCGGCTTTGTCATTGGTCCAATTAAGCACTAAATTGGCCGAATGGGCTACTATTCTTCCAAGAATGGCATGTTTTCATACGTTTTCACATTTTTATTAAGGGTTTTTTGTGTAAACAATGCCCTATAAACAGGGGAGCGCACAGAAATTTCATAAACTTCTACGTCGCCATGTAGTTGACTGATATGATCAACAAGATCTTGCTCGATGAATTTCAATGATTGGTCAAATTATGCAGTTCTTATACAACAGTAACAAATTAAGTTTTATATCCCAAAATTGGGGTCCAAAGGTCAAAAAAAAAAATTGTTAGATCATAATTTTAAATTTTCTTATATTACTCATTTCTATCAAAAACAATTATTTTATTTATTTCTTTATCTCTCATATCAATTTTTATTACTTATATCCATGTTTTTCGTAATTTACTTCTAGAAGTTTAGGTATTTTTCAAATCTAGAAGCTAATTTCTCCTAATTAGGTACACGGATAAATCTATATTTTACATATTCAAATCATCTCAAATGATTTTTTTTTATCTTTTTTTGAATTTGAATTACCTCTAATTTTCTTCAAATCTTTTTATTTCTAATTTTACCTCTTTTAATCTTATTATATATTCATCTAAGCATCCTCATCTTAGTTAAGTTTATTTTCTCATTTTTTTTTACGACCTAACACTCACTCTCATATAACAATGTAGATATTACAATTGTTTTGTACAAACTTTATTTTTAACTCTAAAACATATTGCGATCACATAACACACCCGACGTATTTCATCATCTCACTTATTCTATTTAAATTATACTATTTTTATCTCAGCGTCACTTTGAATAATTGATTCCAAATATTGAAAATGATTACTCTTTGATACTATCTCATCACCCAACTTAATTACACTAGCACTCGCTTTCCTATTAATACTAAACTTATGTTTTATATATGCAATTTTAGATCTACTCAATTTAAAGTTTGAAAATTTCGACATATATCTCTATAATTCTAATTTCGCATTAAGATCATCATTAGTTTCAGAAGCTAAGACTAATCATTGACAAATAACATACACCATGACACCCTATCTTAAATATATCTAATGAGTTTGTTATAACTAATACAAAAAAAAAAAAAAAACTTAATGCTGCATCTTGATGCAATCTTAAGGTAATGGGAAAGTTATCAGTTAAGCTCTCAAATATTCTCACATTCGTTACAACTTTTATATTGTAATTTATACAAATTTAATTCTCATATTACTTTGATTTAATAATTTTAATCTAATTATTAATTCTGTCAATTTTTTGTCATTAAAAATATTAAAGTGGTCATTGACTCGATGACGTGAGCATTGATTTTGTTGACATGACATTGGTTTTGTACTCACACATTGACTTGCTGATATAGTAACTTGAATAGATGACAATCATTAAATTATACAAATTATTTTTGCACTCACAAATTTTGAAATTTAGTTTCTATACTTGCACAAAATTTGAAATTTAATCTCTTTAATATAAAAATATTTTAAAGTTTTTAGAAATTTTTTATCTTTTAAAAATATTAAATTTATGTTTTAATATTTTAATTTTTTTAATTTCATTTTTTGAAAGTTTTGTATTTTAAATTTTTTTAGTATTTAGAAATGTAGAAATTTTCTAAAAATTTTCAATATTTTTTATTTTTTTTAGAAATTTTCTACTTTTTAAAAAATATTAAATTTATTTTTTCAATATTTTAACTTTTTTAAAAATCATTTTTCAAATTTTTTATATCTTCAAATTTCAACATTTTCTTTAACCAAAATATTTAATTTTTTCAACTTTTTAGATTTTTATAAAATTTTCTATATTTTTAAATTTTTAAATCTTTTTTAGAAATTTTTTGTATTTTTTAGTATTTAAATGAAAATAAATAAATAAATAAACTATAAAGACATGGGTCTTTAAAATTTGTTTTGTTTGATGGAAAAGCATAAAAATTTGAGTAATATAAAATTACTAGAACATGAAGAATTTCTGATTTTGATTTATTTTTCACTTGAATAAGATAAAAAAAAAACATGTAAAAATTTTTAAAATTATAAATTCATGTTTTAAACATAAATTATTATAAAAATATTCTGAAAACATAAAAATTATGAATTATGAAAAATTGTATAAAAATTCTAAAAAATTAAAAATAATAAAATTAAATATTTTGTTTGAATAAAAATGTTCAACTTTGAAAAAATATAAAAACTTTCAAAAAATGAAATTAAAAAAATAAAATATTGAAAAAAATAAATTTAATATTTTTAGAAAAACTAAAAAATTTATGAAAAATTTAAAATATTTTTATATTAGAGTGAATAAATTTTAAATTTTATACGAGTACAAGAATTAAATTTCAAATTTCATGTAAATATATAAACCAATACCACAGCAAAATCAATGACCATGTAATTAAATCAACAGTCAAGTCAGTATTTTAATTATAAAAACTTGATGAAATTTGTGATTGAATTATAATCATCAAATTAAAATAATATGATAATTAAATTTATATGAATTATAATACAATAATTAAATTTTAAATTTTCACAAAATAACTTTTGTCGTAATTTGACATCGATGATTCGGCTTATGATTTTATGTTGAATGAAAAACTTGTAGTACGTGAGCGTTTAAATTAATCAAATTGGAGGGATTTGACGTATCACCAAATCTTTGAAAAATCAGGGTTTGGCATTTGAACAAAAGGTGCTTGTCTCTAGCATCAAGGATTTTTGTGACAACAAGTTCTTGAATTTATGAAGCTTTTTCAAGTAAGATCAGAAGGGAGATCATTTGAGAGATTTGGACACAATTTTATTAACCTGTAGAAGACTTTGGATTGGCGCTTGCAGCCAGTAATAATATCCAATTCTCACAAGCAGCTTCACAGCTCACCTTGGATGAGTATTCTCTTGGCCCTGAAAAAATTCAGCTGGGCCGTTCACATTTTACATGTACAAGGGCACAACATTTTGACGATCCATCCCACTTTATATATTTAATAAGCAATGCAGATAGCATTTTTGCAAAATTTCACCATGAATCAAACTGCTCTGCCAATACGCTGCAAGCTCTCTTACCGCTAGATAACTATCATAACAATTGATTCTCAACTGTCCCTTAAGATACAAAATTGCCCCCCTTGCCACCCCCCCCCAAAAGAGGCGCTCTGCGCTGGGGTCTTTGCCTATTATATCACCAAAAGCTCCATAACAATAAATTATCATACAATGCAGGCTCCAAGGCAGTGCCAAGACTCCCACCATACTCTCAAATGGAGCCTCAATAACTGATGCAGATATCATTTTTTGCAAAATTTTGATGTGAATCAAACTGCTGTACGTTTAACACTCTACTTACGCCAATACACTCTGCTAGCCATTACTAGTATATGACCCTAAATCGATACGTAATTGTCTCTCAAGTAAGGTGTCAAATGGATAATGCTGTGCCACAACAACAATTATAATATGTGGTATCAAAATCACAAAAATACTTAGCTCACCCTTACCAGTAGCCTCCATATCAACAAGGAAAACTAGTGTTAAATTTTCATTTGGAAATGATTCCAGCCAGCGCTAGAGACTAGCACAGCAGCAGGTATTAAGGAGTTTAAGCACGATTGATGCACTTGCCTTGACGAGACAGAAGAAAACTTGTTGGAGGGTTCATCAATAGAGCGTCGCTCAGCAGAATTAGACCACTTCATCTGCATGAAGCCCCTCTTTCTCCATGGACCCATATGGAGTTTCTTCTCCTCCATTGACCTTTTGGCTGCATCACACATGACACCAACGATGGCATTCAGGTAATCAGCTTTGCCCACATAACACTCTGGTAATTGCTCAACTAGTTTGCTGTACTCATCACATGCTTTTGCAATCTCAAATTGTTCTCGGAATTCCAATTCAATTACAAATGGGATTTGCTTCTTTCCCCCTTGTGTGCTTGCAATCACTTCAATGTATTCATGTATTCCTGAAAGTAATAAATAAACAAGAAAATTAGAAGAATTACTTAGAAGGGGTTAATGTCTTGGTACCATCTCTAAACTATAGTAAAATATTCAATTTAATATTTGAACTTCAAAAACCTATAATTTGGTACATAAACTATTAATTTTTTAATTAATGTGATATCTACCTCTAACGTACTTAATTTCAAATGGTGATACATGTTCGACAAACAAGCTGTACCATATTAGTTAATAGATTTATAAAAATATAAAACCACATTGAATATTTCACTATAATTCAAAATCTGTTCAAGACATTAATCCTTACTTAGAAATATACTATATATAAAAAGGGGGCAATCAACAATGTCATCCAAATTGAAATAAATTAATCTATATATTTACTTGAGATTTTTTTCTTGAAAATGAAAAGAGCAAGATGCATGCAAAATAGAGAAAAGGAAAAGAAAAGACCTCCAGGATACTTTTTGGTGTCTTTCCATTTTGAAATACAGAGAGCGGCATTAACTCCTCTGTCACAAAGTAGAGTGATTACTCTCTCGCGCAAGCAGTTGGGGCAACCATCAATGCTTGGCTTTATGCAGCTGCAAAACTCTGTCTCTTTCGCTACCTCAATTATTCTACAAATTTCGTGTCGTAGCTTGGAACCTATCAAGATATAACGCTCCAGGATTTCCTGATACATTTAGCCCAAGGGGAAACCAAATTATAGGCTATTTAGCTAAACCAAATTTCAACAATTTGATTCTGAAAATTTTCATGCTGATTTCTATTTACACATCCATGTTTCTTTCATACAAGTGAAAATCAATTCCCGGGATCATCCATCTATGAAAATGGAGAACAAAAGGACTGTGGTTTATTTATTATTACATAAGTGTGTACCACAAGACAGGCTTATATATGTAATGCCTTGCAACCAAACATTTGGTTTAATTACACACATTCATTTGGAAAACAAAGCACACACCCCACAAATATGATTCAGCTTCTCTCTATTTATACTTTTTTTTTTTTACTGACTAAAAAGTTGAAAAGAAACCATAATAATTTACAATTCGGTGATAAATTTTTTTTTTTAAAAACCATGTTTTTAATGGAAGTGAAGCATTATAGATATTTTCTTGTTCCTATATATGGCAGCTAGCACGTGGACAAAAACCCCTTATAAAACCATGTGATTTATGACATTTCAATGAAAGGTGATCCCTTGTCTGCTATTTCAGATTTTTTAAATGGAGTAAAAAAAATTACTTGAAACAAAGTTTGCAAAAATATCGGGAGATGTTTATGTATGAACCAAGAAAAAAACCAAAATCATAGAAAAGAAGATTAAAATTCCGTTGTTTCTATGATAAAACTTTGTATTGAAGAAGACAATATGAATGAAAATGAATGGTAGAAGAGAAGTAAAATATATACCTGAAGCAAGGCCTCTTGGGATTCCCAGTAAAGGGTATGTTGAAAAGGGTGATTGGGTTTATTACCATCTGATCCATAGCCATCAGTTGCATTAAGACAAGAATCGGATTCAGCAAAATCATTGTCCAGAAACTCTGAAACTTTCTCTTCAAGACTGTAATTATTATTAAACCCATGCTGCTGCTGATGATGATGATGATAATGATGGCCATGGTAGTTCTGTGCAAGAGCCTCCTCTTCAATAAGCTTACCCATATCTCCTTTCACAGATGTAAATAAGAAAAAAGAAGATTAAACTTTACAGAAACCAAGAAGAAAGAAGAAGAAAAATTGCCGCAAAAATCGAGCATGAGCAGGGCATTATATATAGACACCCACCTAACTGCCACGTCAGCTTCATAAGATACGTTTTTTTTTTTTATTTGCTTTCAGACAATTTTTTTAGAAACCTAAAATTACTCAATTCTAGATTCTAATTTTATATGCTTAGTTATATTCTTCTTTTTAGACCTACATATATACTCTCTCTCTCTCAGCCATTTTCCTTATTTTGTTTTCTTTTGAGATATTCCAAAATGTAATCCTGTTTTCATTTTCAAACACCTAATTTTTTATATATTATAAATTTATTTTTCTTATTTTTATCTTTTTGCATTTAACAATTTATGGGACATCAATTTTATAAAAATTTTTATATACAACATTATTTGCAAGCTATTTTTATAATAAAAATAAATTAAAATGAATTCAAAATTTAATTCATATACATGTAACTCATACGATAATAGTTAATAAATTTAAAATTTAAATCTAAATATTTATAATATTTTTTTTATCTCAAACTTTGATCTTTCTTTTATAAAACAAAAAAGTTAAAATTAAATGAATATAATATAATATATGAAATACACACAAATATTCACTAAAAAATACATAAAAATAAAATTTTGAACTAATTGTTTTTAGGGCCGTTGCTAATTTAAATGGATTAATTATGATCATTATATATATAGTTTCTATATATTTTTCCTGTATATATTCTGAGTTTTTTTGCTAATATCTTTAATGATATGCCTAATTATTAGATATATAAATACTTCCCAAAGAATATGATTAGAGATTTGACTTTTGAATGAAATTGATGTAAAATGATTAAAAGTATTTGAAGAGACATCAAGGGTCTGATTTTAAATCAGGTCTCCCCTCTTCCTTATTTATATTAAAACTTTAACCTCTTAATATAAAAAAAAAAAAAATACAAATTAAATATGTTAATGAGCCACTTCAGTCTATTGGTTTTTCAAAACCCTTCCTCAAGGTCTAGTATGGCTCAACTCATATAACTGGAGAGAGATAAAAAAAATTTTAAAATACAAATTAAAAATATTAATATTTTAAGTGCATTTTCAAACTTAAAGTTAATTAAAAATATTTTTTATTAATTAAATAATAATTCAGATCATACCGAATTTGATTTTAATAAATTTTGTCTAAAGCTTGAGCTATCCAAATTTGATTCTAGTAAACTTGATTCAAAACTCGAGTTATTTATCGAATAGATAATCTAACCTTTGAATGAATTTTATACATTCGATAAAAATTTTTTCAAAAATTCATTGATCTTTTTATTTAACAAGAATATTTTCATTTTGATTGAAAATTTTGCATAAACTTATTAGGGAAAGATTTGTGTCTCTTAGAAACGTGATTCTCCAATAAAATACATTAATGTTTAGCAATCATAATCAATTGAAGGCCAAAAATATTATAATTAGGGTTTAATCAATTATTTTGCTATGTCAGTATGCCATTTAATTAAATATATTCTGTATTACAACATCCTTAGCTTAATAAGGTGAATTGAGGAAAAAGGTGAGAATATCTTATTATAAAAATTGTTTTATATATCAACACTAAAATTTTTAAATTCCCCAAACACACTTAAGATTGTATGTATATATATAATAATTATTAAATAGACCAGTGTCAATTACATATATCCGTTTATAAAATTTTAAAAAAATAATAAATAACAACTCTATAGTTGATTATATGATAAAAATTTAGTGAACTTCAAATTTTACTAAAAATTTTAACTTATGATTTAACCCAAAGATTTATTCATATTTTTTGGAATATAAATTCCTATAAGATTGAAACTTTAGCACATATAATTTTTTTTACTTGATTTCCAAAGCTTTGGTTTCCTTTGCGTTAAAAGATTTACTAAAATTTTGCAATGCAAAAGTAAAAGAAAATGACAAAACAAAATGAAAAAGGAGAAAATAAATAAAATAATTGCTACTTAAGACCTTTGTCCTCTCTCTTATATTTATTTATTTATTTAAAAATATCTCTCCCTCCTACCTACCAAAACCAAAAGAGAGAGGAAAAGATGTGAAAAAAGTTGGGACGGAAAGTTGGAGCACGTCTTTCATGCATCTTTACTTTATTGTGTCACATGTTTATTTGTTAGATGGGGCTTGAATGAAGTCATTTTCAGGTTGCATGGTGCCCTATTGGATTATTATTTTAGGATTAGTGCAAGCTGTGATTATCTGCCGGTGAGCATGAAAGCAATGCTTGAGCTGTGTGTTTCATGTCCTCCACTTGTAGTTTGTCCTCTCCTTTCAACCACAAATATACGAGAATCAAACAACAAAACTTTAACATCTATTTTCTTGGGTGTTTTTATTACTTTTACATATATATATATATATATATATATATATATATACACAAAACCCTACATTAAGGGGAGGGAAAAAACCGAAGTTCAAACCTTAACCTTGATATCTTCATTAAAATTATCTTAACCATTAAACCAAGCAGTTAAAGACATATATATATATATATATATTGATTAATATATAATTTGACTTTTATATTATATCACTTTTTATAATTTGATATTTATAAAAATATTCATAATTTAATATTCTGTCATATTATTTGTATCAAACATTATTAATAATATGCCAATGTAATAAGCAATTAACAAATAAAATCATGACATGTGACCTTATTTTTTTATTGTTAAAAATTTAAGATAGAAAGATTGTTTAAACTCTTATATTGCCTAAAACAGATGATTACAGCTCGTGTATTCGAAGTAATCTTCACAAACAATCATAGATAAGACTTGAACTTAAAGCTTTTACATCGATAAGAACAAGCCTTAATCAATTGTTGGTAACATGTGACATTTTTTTTCATTTATCAATATCTACCAAATCATTTTACCTAACTCTATTAGTTAAACGAAGTTCAAGTTTGAGCCAACCAACCCAAACTGGAGAGGCGCATTCAGGAGCATTTGCAAAAACCCAACCCAAACCTTTGGGCTCAAAACTAAATTGTAAAGCCGACAAATAAATCTGGGGAACCAAGGCACAAATTGAGGTCAGATCAATTTGGTCTCAACTACAAACATATAGAATACTTGTTCCAGTGAACCTGCCAAGATCAAGTGGCTTACCCACGTTTCCTTAGCAAACTAATATGCAATCCATCTGGAATAGCTTTCTTCCCAAAATGTAAAACGCTTGCCCCAGTTAAATTAACAAGTGCAACAGACATGAACAAACACCAAAATGCATAACTGAAATTGTTGGAACAAAAACATATACAAGCAAATAATAAATGAAGCAAAACGTCTCAAAAATATGGGTAAATTTGGGCATTTGAGACCTTTTTTGTAAGCAGGAGATAAATTACTTTTCTCCATCTAGATCCCAGCTTTAGCAGAAAGTTGCCAATGATGATAGAGAATGCTGGTTTCACTATTTTTCTTGTGCGAGCCTTATGGATGTCTCAGGGTTATGGTTTGGAGAGAACAGATGTACAAAAATATGATACAAAAAAAGAATATGAGAAATTGCTGGTCTAACATGACCAAAAGTACAAGAGTTTGGATGACCGGACATTGCACTTAGGGATTTACCAATCCAGTTCTCAATTCATTGACCATAACAATTTACAAAACTTATCTTTCAAGCTGACCAACAACAATTTGCAGACACATGACCAATGATGAGTTCAGATCTACCTATTCCAGTTTTCTAATCAAGTCAACAAGTTGAGATAAACTACCACTGAGAAACAAAACTTGTCTGACTGCAAGTAACAACAAAGGCAGCAGATATCAACATAAGTTGGCCATTGCACAAAGCAAATAACACAAAGAACCAGCAATCAGCTGTCTATTTCTGTAAAGCTTAACAAAAAGCAAAAGTAAAAAAATGAACTTTAGATCCCACAAATCTTATTTTTATTATTAAGTACTCTTATTTTTGAAGAGGGTGTCAAAATGGGAGCAAAATGCAATGGAACTAAGTGATCAAAATCCTCCGTGGTGAAATCAAATCATTAAAAAGCAAACAATGAATTTCCTAAGGTGGGGTATTAAACACATAAAGGCCCAGACCAGACACAAATTCAAAATGATTCACCATGCAATTTGCACAAAAATTTTCCCCTGGTGGAAGATGAGTAATAGATAATTACCAATCATGTTAGGAGACTGTGAATGGCTTGCAATAAAGGGAAATGAAGATAAAAGGATATTGTATTTGTAGTGCTATCTCAATCTTTGTTAAACATAGCAAGAGATTCTGATTCAAGCAGCAACTCATAAAACAAGTATAAGAAAAATGTGCAGAGCATGGCCTCTCTTCTGCTGTCAACAACAAAGACAGACCAACTCGATGAGCAAGATTTTTGAGCAACCTTCAGGATGATCTCTAAGCACCATTCCTGCACACACTCTGCCTTCATTGCCTATAGAAGTGAAGTCCACATTGCCCTTGACATATTTTGATGAAGGGAATGACCAACCAGCCAGTCCTTGCTTAATAGATTGATTCCTTGTTGGATTTTAACAGCCCTTCACCTACTCTGGTTGTTGAATATCCATAGCCAAGCTCAATACAGATTAACCAAATTATATGAGTTGAAATAACATGCCAATGGATATTTGAGATAGCGCAGTTTGTTTATCATAGGACAATATCCAAGGGTTTTTCTTCCCTCAGTTTTTTGAATGCATATTACTATCCTGGCATATGCTGATTTTCTTCATAAGATGACTTATACAGACCACTCCATCGAAGCTAAAGCAACTAGGATCCCAGTTCTACAAGTCTTTCCCTTACTGAATGGGCAAGTTTCAATTCATTGACATTAACTAAACCCTCAACAACCTTTTGCCTGACCCTAATATAGGGTATAAAGCCCCTCTCGGTCATTGCTATAACTACCTTTCCTGCCAAAATATACTCACAACATTCCAAGCATCCTTCAACCACTAACTCATAGCTTTCAAAGCCAACAGGGTTACCTTTCCTCTCCAAGAATTCAATCATCTCAACAGCTTTCCAGATCTCTCTATTTGCCAACAAAGTTGCCACAAGCTTCATCACTGTTCCCTGCCTTGGAGTCAATCTAGCTTTCTGCACCATTTGCTTCACTAACTCCACTGCATCAACTGTCCTTCTAAATGTGCACATTGCAGCTATTAAACCCGAATAACTCTCCAGATCAGGAGGGCAGCCTGCTCCACTCATACCCTTCAAGACTTTAACAGCCTCCTCTAATAGATCAACAGCACAAAGAGATGATATAATGTAATTGCACGTTACAGAATCAGGACAATATCCAATTTCTTGCATCTCCATAAGGCTATCAGAAACAGACTGAGACTGGCCATGGCAGCTGAGCCATGCAGAAGAAAGAAGTAGTTTCACTTGGGGAGCAGGGACGCAGCCAGAACGAAGACAGCATTGGAGGATGGCAAAAGAAAGAGGGAGAGGGTGGGGACTCTGAAGAGTGTAGAAAAGAAGAAGGTCATAGGCAATGTGGGAACGTGACCGAGGTCTAATGCATTTAAAAGACTGTAAAATTTCATCAACGATTTGGGTTCTAAGCTTCAAAGAAAAGGTGGAAAGAAATGAGAAAGGATTTGGAACACGCCCCGTTTTTCCTACAGCAATGAGAATGTCAGGAAGTTGTGTATACGTTTTGGCTTCAACAGCAGCTTTGACAGTTTCATCAACAGAGTGAAATGAAGAGATTGAGTGAACTATGGCAGGGTGGCAAAAGCGTGGGTAAAGATTAAAGAGAGATCTGCAAAGCTTTGTTGGTACAGTGGCCATTTCCAGGTTCACAAACTATCAGAATGAGAAACCTGAAGGAATTAATCATGCAAAATCGAACAGGAAATACAGGATGCCATCATTTGAAAGGGAATTCAAGTTTTATTGGTTCAAATCTAATATGTGTTGTAATTAAGAATCTAGCAGTATTAATTTAGTTCAATATTTATTGGACACAACCAAAATTAAGAGAGATAAAAGAGAATCAGAAACCTGTTTGATGGAGTCGGCGATGCCATCACTAGAAGAGAGAGGGGCTCCAATGGAAGCCATGGAGGGAAGGAGAGCGCTAGCTAGCGGGCATGGAAGAGGATTTGGTTGGGTTCACCAGCAGTTAAGTTAAACCCCTTCCGCTGTAAGCTCCGGTGCGACTTTCATGCGATTGGAGTAAAGACAGCCATCAGATCTAGCAAATATATCTAAGCCACCAATTCAAGGTTGAATTATAAAATCTAAACATGAGAACATCTAGGTAAAAATTTTTTTTCTTTTTTTATTCAAATTTCACAGAAGTCTTTTAATTTTTAGTACAATTCAAGACAACTTAAAATTTGATAATTTACTTCAAATTTTTTAACTTATTAATATAATTTAATCAAATTACAAAATTACCCTTAAATCTAAATTTATTTTATATATATATTATTCTTTATTCTATTAGATATATAATAATAAAAATTATTTATATTTAAACATTATAACTCTTTTAATTTGGTTTTAATTATTATAAATGATTTTAAATTTAAAATGAATAAATTTGTCATTATTATGTATACGAATATTGTAATAATTAAAATACAAATATTCAATCGTAATTTTTTTTAACCACATATTTTTTTGTATTATAATTTTCATACTTTTTTTTAATATTTACATGTGAAATAATACTCATTTTATTATATATATATATTTACATATTAGTATACTTATAATTACAAGTTTTGTTTTTATATATGTTGTATCTAAAATTTTTTTTATTATTAATAGATTTATATATTTTTAAAAAATAATTTTTTATTATTATTATAAAATATTATTTTATGTAAGAATTTAATAATATTATTTTTTAGGAGTAATACGGTCTTTAAATAAGGTTTTTACTAGAATAACTAATAGATGACAAACAAAATTATCTAATTATTTTGTGAAATTAAAAAATTTGAGATGAATTGTTCATTTTTCAAACTAATGGATTTATATTGAATTATGTTCAAAATTTAAGGACTTGAATAGAATATGTCGCTTTTTTATGAAATTTGTGTGAAGCTTTTTAGTTAAAAATAATTAAATAAAATTTAAATAGATAGATTTAGACCTATTGTTACATAAATTTATTTTATAAGATTTTAAAATATTTATTATTTTTATTTTTAAATAAATATTTTTCTAAAAATATTTACACAGAATTTTCACTATTATGTTTTAGTAAGCGTCTTTTCAAAAAAGAGTTTTAGTATGTATCAAATCTTGATTATAAAATGTATTTTTAATAAATTTTTTTAATATATTATTGATTTTTCATTAAATTTTAATTTTCAAAATAAGTTTTTATATGATTCTTTTTAATAAAAAAATTTTACAAGCTTCACCTTAAAAAAAATTTTGATCTAAATCTTGATCCAAGCAGGTAACAATCAAAATTAAATTACTTTCTCTGCTTTCTCCTGCTTAATGTGTCCTTCTCTTGAATTTATTTTTTCTTTAATTTATGCTTTGCACTACATTAGATTTTTTTATTAATTTTTGCTTAAATTCAACAAAATTAAATAAAACTTGATATCCTTATAGTACACAAATAATTTTAGAGGTATCCATTGATTGGTATGAGCCAAGTTTACTAGGCCTGACTTCATTTTTTATTTTGGAGAAAATTAGGCATAATATGTTTAAAATCAAGCTCAAGTTTAGCTTATTCACCCATTAAATTTTTATTATTAAAATTAGAAATTTTTAATTTGAATATTGTAAATATGTTTTTAAATTAAAATTAAATGAAAACATATTATTTATTGATAAAATAATTTAATGAAGTTAAATCAAGACAAACTCAAATTTAAAGTTTTATCTCTCAAGTCTAATTCATGTCGAGCCCAACTCAAAGCCTCAACAATTGTTTAAATCTAAAGTTTTATATCTAAGTCTAGTCTAAATCGAGCCAAACTCAAAAGCTTCAATGGATGTTCAATATTTGAACATCTCTGTAATATCAATTCTTTTGTAACATGGTTAGGAGTATTTGTTTAAGTTTGGCTTAAACTTAATTTCTTCTTTAAGTATTTTTAAAAGTGCAATTATTATAAAATATAAGTCAATAAACTTGATCATTAGATATAAAGTCACTATCAATTTTTTTTTATTTAAGCGTGATTAATCACCTAATTAAATATATTTTTTTTAAAGAAATATTAAATTTAACTCAAGTTTCTTAAAAGAATATATTCTAATCTAAAAAACTAGGCTTAGTTGAGAGTACAGTTATAGTAGGAAAAGTTATAATATCCTTACAATAGCCATTAAAGAATGATGCTAGCTAATTTTCATGTTATCTATTAAGCCTTAAAAAAACTCTAAAAATCTCAAAATAATTCATGTATTGAAATTATACTTAAATGACTCTAATATTTTTGTAAAAATTTAAAAAAATTCTCTTATCTCAAAAGTATTCAAGAAAATAATTATTTCTCTTAAAAATGCTCTGTTGTCGAATTCAAAAACTTTTACAAAACTTGAAGTTTTATTGAAATCTTTTATGTTAGAAAGTCTCTTTAAATTGCTCCAATATTTTGACAAAAATTTAAGAACATTTCTTCACCTAAAAATTTACATAGAAATTGCAATTGCAACTTTCTAGTAATTTCATCCTTAGAAGTTTCAAAACTTAATTTTATTTTTATATAAAATTTCAAAAAGTTTGATCTTAAAGAAAAAAATTGATATTTCAACTTTTTTTCCTAAATTTCCTAAACATTTTCATTTTAAGAGAAATTGATATTTTGATTTTTTCTTCAAGTTTTTCAAATAATTTTATTTTAAAGAGATATTGATATTTCAACTCTTTCTTTGAATTCCCAAAACGACTTCATTTTAAGGAAAAATTAATATTTAACTTTTTTCTTTTTATTTTTCAAAATAATTTTCATTTTAAAAAGAGATTATATTTCAACATTTTCCTTAATTTTCTAAAACAATTTCTTTTTAAAGAAAATTTGATATTTTAATTTCTTTTTTTTTTATTTTAATATAAATTTGTTTTAAGAAAATATTGATATTTCAAATCTCTCCTTAATTTTACAAAACATTTTATTTCAAGGAAAGATTGATATTCAATGCTTTCTTTAATTTTCAAAACATTTTCAAGTAAAGATTAAGATTTCAATTTTTTCTTTAATTTTCAAAAAAAATAATTTTTATTTTTAATTTTCTTAATCCGAATGGATTTTAACATAAAAAAATAAATAAAAATAAAAATAAAAATAATTTATCAAAATTTTTAGCTTAGTCAATAAATTGGTTAATAGTCAACAACTAGTCAATAGATTAAAGGCTTGGTTCAGCTCAAGTGATCTGGTCCAGTTTAAGTCAAACCGGTTTAGTAGTTGGAGATAGATCGTGAATTCATGTGTTTCAGGTTACCTGACAGGTTGGTGCACAGGTCTTTTGTTACTAATCCCCCCAAACAACGTCATCATAGGCTTATTTAAATACCAAAAAAAAATTTTTTGATTTTCTTTTCCTTTATTTCTCTGTAGGCTGAAATCTCTTTGCCTCTCTTTTAACTCTAGTTTGTGGTGCTGGAAACTTCAATCTTTGGTTGGAAAAGTTGTTTAAAAATTCTTCTGTCGTCAAAAAACTTATTCCAAATTGAAATTTTCCAAATATTTTTCCTTTTTTTAATCAAATTCCTAACTCCTTCTTTGATTCTAATTCTAACTAAACACCAAACCTTTCACAAAGAATCCCTAAAAGCTCACCTTAAGCAAAACTTTCTCCATTGTTTAAAAATCTAATCCTAACTTTCTTTTATTCTCACCTATGTATTTCTTACCCCTTGAAGATTGTAAAACAAAAAAAAAAACCAACAACAATGACTTCCAATGCAATTTCATTAATTCTTTCTCTTAATTTTCTCTATTCATTGCCTGTCTAATTTCTAAAGTTTATATAAAGGTTGGTATAAGTAGAGATTAGGTTTAAAATCAACCTAGGGGTTAAAATCAACATAAGGTTTTAAATTTAAACAAAAAAAAATCCTATCTTATTAATCCCAAATTTGAAAAGGGAATTTCAATAAGAGAAAAGGCTTGATCCAAATTTTCAAATTTCAAAAACACTTTCATCTTATCACATTTCTTTTTTTTTTTAAGTTCCAATTTTTTCCTTTTTAATCTTATCTTATTCAGATTTTAAACAAAATGAATAAATAAAAAAATAAAAAAAAAGATGAAAATGGAAATGGAAAGTAGTAGACAAATAAAATAGGAATTAGGCTTTAAACTAAATACAATTACGAAATTATCATACACCATGACCCAGCATTTGTTCAAACAAAATTGTAATTCCATTCTCAGATAGGTTTGATTATAAAGCAAATGAGAATCTAAATCCAAAAAAACAAAAATAAAAATAATTAGAAATTAAAAATTAAAAATTAAAAATTAAAAAATAAAAATTAAAAATTAAAAAATAAAAGGCCTTAAACTAAAATGAATGTTTATAGTTATTCCTCTTTTAATAATTTTTATAAAACAAAAATTATGTAAAAACGTATACATTCATTATAACACTTTTTTATCAACTTGAAATCTAAAAATAATTCATCATGAATTAAACCAAAGCCTGAAAATGAAGTGACATAGACTAAGTTTAAGTTTGAGAATAAACAACTCATATTGATCTGAAGCTTGAAAATGTGCCAAAATCTGAAAATAAAACAACTTGGACTAACTTGAAGTTTGAAATTAAAACAACTTGGCCAGAGCTAAAGTATGAAAATAAAACAACTCGAATTGAATTGAAGTTTGAAAATGAAACAACCTAGGTCGAGCCAAAATCTGAACATAAAACAACTCAATCTGAGTCAAAGTTTGAAATAAAATGGCGTGGGTTGAATTAAGATTTAAAAACGAAACAACCTAACCTAAGCCAAAGTCTAAAAATGATATGACCTAGACTAAGCCAAAGTTTGAAAATGGTACGATATGGACTAAGTTGAAGTTGCAAATAAAATGATTTAGACTAAGCCAATGTTTTAAAAATGGAACGATTTGGATTGAATTGAAATTGAAAGAATAAGTTAACCTCAAATCAAGCCAAGGAAATGAAATATTACAATTTCATCTTTAAAGATTTCTCAGCTAAAGATCGAAACTTTGAAAAATGTTCCCTCAAAACAAATTTCTTGGAATGTATGTACCAAATGCTATGAATGCAATACACGTAATGCATATCTAATTATGGTAAAAAAGGT